GAAAGAAGTTCGTGGACTGGAATGGAAAACAAGTCATTCTGTGTTTATGACTTTTTAGTAACCTGGGATCGTTGAGGCCCACCATGAGCACAGGCCTGCTTGTTCTTAGAGCATGCCTGGGCTTACTGGACATTCTCCTTCTCCCAGCACCTCCTGTGGCCTCATTTCCATCTTTTCACATCGTATTCCTCTCCACTATCCTTCTCCCCAAATAAGAGAAAACAAATGAGCCTTATTTTACTTTAATTTTAAAACTACAAGTCATAGAAATATTGTGATGTGAAAAGGGACTCAAATAAAACCATGTAAACCATCACAGTTGGGCCTGCCATGAAAAAAAGTGTTTGGAACTCAACTCTGCAGGGCCATGTAGGAGCTAGTGCCAGATTTTGATGAATGAGAACCACCAGTTCTGACAAAAATAATCGAAGGAAGTCTTTTCATTTGAAGTGCTTAGATGCAAATATTTTAAATGTTTTCTACTTTTTCTAAACCCAGTAAAATCAGTTTGGAAGTCTGGATTATTTGGTGTTACTCAAGTTTCCATTAGTAGTACAGCCAGTTATTTTCACAAGAAATCAATACTTATCATAATATATTGCATTTAACTTAGCAGGGTAAATAAAAAAAATTTAACAACATTTCCCAGGCTGAAGTGCTAAGGGTCAGTGAGCTTTGGTTGCCAATGAGAATGCCTGGAAGAACTGCCTTGCCAGCTGTAAAACGGCAGAGCAGAGCCAAGAGTCCAGTTACCTGCTCTGTGTTGTTACTCATGCACGAGACCCCTGTCCTGGTATAGGCTGGAAGGCAGCCGAGATCTGCACACTGGCCTGACAGAGTGTTTCTTTTGTTGGTGTTTCTTTGGCAATATCTTTTTATGACTCTTACTCACTTTGGTAAAATTTATTTGGTCATCTGTACTTCTGTAACTATCTGTAGGGAGGACTAGTTTTTGTTTTTCCCTCTAATCAGTTTTGAGTCAATGCTTAAGTTACATACAATAAAATAAATCACTCAAAAATACTATCATGCCTTTAGTTGTTGCAGCAATGTCAAATTGTCTTAAAGGTTTCCAAATGCTTACTCTCAATTACTTGCAGGCAGGCTTTGGTTTTTTGCTCTTAAAAAAAAAAAAAAAAAAAAAAAAGAACCCTGACAGTAGTCCACTGTGAATAACACACAGAGCAGTCACGAAGTTCTTGCCTTCCCTGGAGAAGCTTAAGCCACTGTTTGAGAATCACTGCACCAGACCATGCTTATTTCTGTCACAAAGATCTTTAGAAAAACCCCGGGCCTTTTTCCCTTTGATGGTTTCTAAACTCCCTTCAACCAGTTTATCCCTGGCTACACTAACACTGGTAGCCGTTCTTAACAAGGAGCTTGCCAACTCCTGACGTCGCCTAAGACATCCACTTGGGTTCTGGCGGCAGTTTCTCCGTTTGTGAACATAAGGGTACTAGGTGATCTTGATCGAATATGAATGATGACTTCTTTGGGAAGAACTGTGACAGCTCATATTGTCTGAATTCAGAGGGGGTCTTGTTGAGGGGACACCAGATTGAGCGTGGTTGTAGATAATTGTCCTGTTCTGAAGCACAATTCTCTGCAAATATGTTGAGTTGGATGCTTTATGAGTACAAACTGCTACCTCTGTTACCTCTCTTGTGAATCAGTCTGTTAGCAAAGTTCTAAATCTTGCTTATCTGGGCCTCTTACACCAGAAGTAAGTGGTTTAATGAAACAGTCTCCGTTCTAGCAGAGGCAGCTCCTCGGGACTAAGAGATGATCTGAAAGGCCGTGGTTTCAGAAATAGCAACAGGCATTGTGATGGGCCAGGAGGAAAGAGAAACCATATGGGACAGTGGTGGACTGTTGGGAAAGGGAACAGGAGGATGATGGCATGAGATGCCTTGGGTGGGTCTGATCGGTTGCTGTGGTTTCTAGGCTCACTGTAATACCAGAGGCTGCCAGATGTGTATGTACATCATTGACACGCAGATTTAGGTGCAGGCTACCTGTGAAGAACATGGGGAAAAGATGACTGCATTGCTCAGTCAGTTCCCTCTGGGCCACCGTAATATGATTTAATCATTACAGTTGGTTTGATTCAGTGGCTATTTGTTATTTATTTGCATTTTTTTTTTTTTTCAGAAAAAGCGGCTCTGACACATACATGGCTATTCTTCATAAGGTTCATGCATGCCAGTATCCTTCCTCCTCCTGTAGATAAAGTTGGTCTGCAGAAGAGATATTTTTGCACAGCTGTGTGCAGAGGTTCTGCCCGAGAAACAATGCATAGTGAAACATCATGTGAGAACAATCACGAGTGGATTTGATGGTAAAAGATGGTATAGAGAGGAGATCCCAGTGCTCCAGAGAACAAGCTCAAATCCTTGCCATCACAAAGCAAGGAGACACTGCGTGAACTGAGGGTTAGAATTTCAGGGCTCAGGATCCAGACCCCCAGTGAACACCCTGGCAAGCCGTCTTACTTTTCTTCACCTCTGATTTCTCATCTGCTAAATGCCTTGTAGAGTATTAGGAGCTTTGATGGGTTTCCAGTGAGATACCATCTATAAAATCACAACACACTTCTCTGTTGACCTATAACACCAACATCCCCCTACTCAAAAATGGCAATTGCAGGATTCTGGAATCATCTGGTTTTGCTGTGTACTGACATCATGATGTGACTGTCCTCTGCACACAGTTGTGCAAAAATATCTCTTCTGCAGACCAACTTTATCTACAGGAGGAGGAAGGATACTGGCATGCATGAAACTTATGAAGAATGGCCATGTATATGTCAGAGCTGCTTTTTATGAAAAAAAAATCATTCAAATAAATAACAAATATCCACTGAATCAAACCAACTGCATTCATTAAACCATATTACTGTGGCCCAGAGGGAATTTTCTATCCAAGGGCTGAAGAGAGACTTTGCCATGGCAGAAATAGTGCTGTCCCTTAAATCCCACATCCTGCTTCCTCCACTAGTATAACATCTTACACACTCAGAAATGTTAGAACCAGGAATTATCTTTTAATTCCACTTTTCTTTGAATGTTTTTAAATATGTATTTATTTTCATCTTTATTTAAAGAGCAGATGGAGAGGGGCACAGAGATAGACCGAGAGAGATCTTGCATCCATTGGGTTGCACCCCACGTGCATGCAATGGCCAGGCTGAAGCCAGGAGCCCAGAACTCCATCTGGCAGCAGGGACACAAGTACTTGGGTTGTAATCTGCTGTCTCCCAGGGCATGAATTAGCAAGGACTGAACTGGAAGTGAAGCTGAGACTCAAGCCCAGGCATTCTGACATGGGAAGCGGCTGTCTCAAGTGGTAACATTACCACTGCACCAGATGCCCATCCCAAAATTGGGAAACCATGATTGACACAGTGCTATCACCTAATCTGGAGACCCTGTTCAAATTTTTGCCAGTTTTCCCACCGATTTACTTTTTCTGGTCTAGGATCACACAGTTATGTCTTCTTAGCCACTCTTATCTGTTACTATTGTTTATTTTAAAAACAATCTTTCCGTCCCTTTATGCTTTGAAGGATACTATCCACTGTTCTGTAGAATGTCCCTCCATTTTGGTTTGCCTCATGTTCTATCCTGATTAGCAGGAGGTTGTAAACTCTCGAGGACTGTGCCACCTAAGTACTGAAGTGTCCCTCTCTGGGACTCATCATGAGGTCCATGGTGTCACTGTGACTCCCACCAGTCATGTTAAATCTGAATCTTTGATTCTTAGGTTCTCTGATTCTTAGGATCTCTGTTGTACAATTGTGATTTTTCCTCTTTGTAACTGATAAGTGTCTTGACATTTTGGTTTTATGCTTTCTTAAATTGATGGTCAGCATTGGAGCCGGTGTCACTCACAGAGGATTGCAACGTGTCTTGTCCTGGTGCCCTGGAAAATCATGGAGTCATTATTGCAGTGAATAGATTTCTCTCGATCCATGCTGAAGTGGACTGCCTGACATTATAGTGCAGGATTTTTAAGTCCTACCTCCAGGCAAATCTCATAGTTACTAGCAAAAATGAAAGTGTGAATGCTTTTTAATGTATATTTAACAACACATAGTCTGGTGATTACTGATGCGTAGTCTCCATGGACTCCCTTGGCTATCAGAGGAGGATGCTGAGACAACTTTTCACACATTTATTCTATCTAAACCCATCACATGTTTACTTTTCACATATCTGTGACTGTCACTGATAACAAGATCATAAAATGTCGACTACTTTCAGTCTACCAAAGGCTTTGAATCATAGGATTTCAAGAAGTTTTGAGGAAAAGTACAATTACTTTTTACACGTGATGTTGTTCTTGTTCTGCTTTATGAGTGCCTACTGTTAAATGGTACTAAAATATAGCCATGTAAAAGAGAAAAGATGCAGCTTGGTTTTGGGAGTCTGAGGGGGTAATGCTACTTTATTCATCTTTTTGATTCAGAAATTCACATAACTCCTATTTAAAGGACTTTTCAACACTGAATCCAGTATCATGTCTGCTTGTGTTGAAGAAGTAAATTTTACAAAATGCACTTAATTCCTTCCTATGGTGTCACTGTGTAATAAGGATTAAGGTACCATTTTTTTTTTTTTGCATTTATACTGGGTTGCACAGCAAGAGTTCACGTCTTATACTAATATATGCTAAATAGTTGCATAGTATATAGATCATTGTTGTTAAAATAGCAGTACTGAAGGCATTGTGGATCACAGAGCCCCAGTGGTCTCCATTGTGTTTGCTTTGACATTATTAAACTCAATCTGTTTCTCTAACTGTGACTCTAATTACTACATTTGCATGGCAGAAAAGTTTGCTTTGTGGGTTGACTTTTATTAACAGAGCTTGCATGTTGTTTTCTGCTCCCGCTCTCAGTGCTTCGTGAGCAGACAGAGCACCTTCAGTTGCATGAATAATTATGCACAATCAATAAGTTTTTGTGTTTGTCTTTGTTGTTTCTTTGATGTGGCCTGTAGGATGCTGCCGGCAAGGTGCTGGACCGCTGGGCCATCATGTCTCGAGAAGAGGAAATCATCACCCTTCAGCAGTTTCTGCGGTTTGGAGAAACCAAATCCATCGTGGAGCTGATGGCAATTCAGGAGAAAGAAGGGCAGGCCGTGGCTGTGCCGTCTTCAAAGACAGACTCAGACATAAGGACTTTCATTGAGAGCAATAATCGCACCAGGAGCCCCAGCCTCCTCGCTCACTTAGAGAACAGCAATCCTTCCAGCATTCATCACTTCGAAAACATCCCCAATAGCCTTGCATTTCTGCTTCCATTCCAGTACATAAACCCTGTGTCAGCCCCTCTGCTGGGGTTGCCTCCGAATGGGCTCCTGTTGGAACAACCAGGACTGCGGCTGAGGGAGCCCAGCCTGTCAACCCAGAACGAATATAATGAGAGCAGCGAATCCGAAGTATCTCCCACACCTTATAAGAATGATCAAACGCCCAACAGAAATGCCCTGACCAGCATCACTAACGTGGAGCCCAAAACCGAGCCAGCCTGCGTCTCCCCCATTCAGAATTCTGCCCCAGTCAGCGATCTGTCCAAAACTGAACACCCAAAAAGCTCCTTCCGGATTCACCGAATGAGAAGGATGGGGTCGGCCTCCAGGAAAGGAAGAGTGTTCTGTAATGCGTGTGGGAAGACATTCTACGACAAAGGTACTCTGAAAATTCATTATAATGCTGTTCACCTGAAGATCAAACACCGATGCACCATCGAAGGTTGCAACATGGTCTTCAGCTCTCTCCGAAGCCGTAATCGCCACAGTGCAAACCCCAACCCCCGCCTTCACATGCCTATGTTAAGGAACAACCGAGACAAGGATTTGATCCGTGCCACGTCGGGAGCTGCCACCCCTGTCATAGCAAGTACAAAATCAAATCTCACTCTCACAAGCCCTGGCCGGCCCCCGATGGGCTTCACCACTCCCCCACTAGACCCAGTCTTACAGAATCCTCTCCCTAGCCAGCTGGTATTTTCTGGGCTAAAGACTGTACAACCAGTTCCTCCATTTTATAGAAGTTTACTCACTCCTGGGGAAATGGTGAGTCCTCCAACCTCCCTCCCAACCAGCCCCATCATTCCAACCAGCGGTACCATAGAGCAGCACCCCCCACCACCCTCTGAGCCAGTAGTGCCAGCAGTGATGATGGCCACCCATGAGCCCAGTGCCGACCTGGCACCCAAGAAAAAGCCCAGGAAGTCAAGCATGCCTGTGAAGATCGAGAAGGAAATCATTGACACGGCCGACGAGTTTGACGACGAAGACGATGACCCCAATGATGGTGGCGCTGTGGTCAACGACATGAGCCATGACAATCATTGCCATTCCCAGGAGGAGATGAGCCCAGGCATGTCTGTGAAGGACTTTTCTAAGCATAACAGGACCCGGTGCATTTCAAGGACTGAAATCAGAAGGGCCGACAGCATGACTTCGGAGGACCAGGAGCCCGAGCGAGACTATGAAAATGAGTCTGAGTCTTCGGAGCCCAAACTAGGCGAGGAGTCCATGGAGGGGGATGAGCACATTCATAGTGAGGTGAGCGAAAAAGTCCTGATGAACAGTGAGAGGCCCGATGAGAACCACAGTGAGCCCTCCCACCAGGACGTCATCAAGGTGAAGGAAGAATTCACAGACCCCACGTACGACATGTTTTACATGAGCCAGTATGGACTGTACAACGGTGGCGGGGCCAGCATGGCTGCCCTGCACGACAGTTTTACATCGTCTCTGAATTATGGCAGCCCTCAGAAGTTCTCCCCAGAAGGGGACCTGTGTTCTAGCCCAGACCCCAAAATCTGTTATGTGTGCAAGAAGAGTTTCAAAAGCTCCTACAGCGTGAAGCTTCACTACAGAAACGTTCACTTAAAAGAGATGCACGTGTGCACGGTGGCTGGCTGCAACGCCGCCTTCCCCTCTCGCCGAAGCAGAGACAGGTCAGTAAATCTCCATTGGCTGCTCCTGCTGGGGGGTGGGGGGCGGTGCCAGTTTCAGTCATGTTGGATTTCACATCTGAAAAATCCAACTGAGATGTTTCTGATGCACAGTGACCATGTGATAACTCAGCTGCTTGCTTACGAAGGGTCGTTGCTGTTGGTGCTTGCTATGATTAAGCATGCAGAGTCATCCGCCATTTACCCAGTCATGCACGCCATGTTTCTCTGTGTGCTGTGTACATGTGTGTGTAAGTATGTGTTTCCATGCATCTAGGTGTGAACCAATTAACTATGTACACAATTCCCTGCTTTCCCATGATCTTCACTTAGAAGCCGCAGCTTCTGTTTTTTATATATTTATATATATATATAAAATATATTTCTGCTTTGCCTTGTGGCTTTTTAATTAAATCAATATATTATCTTCATACACACATATTTATCCAATATAGAAACAGAAATTTACGGATCGAAAGAACCATAGGTCCAGGACATCGAGACAGCCTGCATCTCCGTAGGTATAACCAGAAATGTTATCATTGCTTACATGAGTGTACAGTGTGTCCTTGCATTCTTTAAGAGTCATGGAAATATCCCAAGGAAATGGGACCAGAGTAATTGTTGCTGTGGGGAAAGGGTGTGGTGGTGTGGGTTTCTTTTTTAACTTCACAGCATCTTTGAACACATCTCTGAAATGCAGTCCACCATGCGCATCCCTCTCAGAAGGGCACGTGTGCATATACGTTCAGGATCAGTTAGAATCTATTAGGTCCAGCCTTCAGATGACATCACAGCCTTGCTATGTAACTGCAGCTCTGAAACGGTCAGGCTTAAACAGAAGCAGCTGGTTCTAAACCTCCGATGTTTGTTATTAATCCTGAAGAAAAGGTAATATAAATGGACTGAGGCAAGGTGGCCCGCGGTGGGTAATGGTTATCCTGCACTCACAGGGATGAGCTCGGGAGCACATCTTCTCCGGAGTACACCAGCCCGACTCAGCCCACACACCAGGTAGTTTTTCCATTTTACCAGATGTGGTTTTTATTTCTACATTGGCTTTTTAAAATATGTTCAGAGAAAACTTTATTACATGGTCAAAAAAATCAATCTATGTGGAAGAAACTAATTAAAAATAGAGAGTTTTCAAATAAATACCACCCAAAGACTAGTGGTCATCAGCTGGGTACAACGGTTTGACAAAGTGGCATGTAGTGAGGGTACCCCTGAGTGACTACTCTTTTGACGATTCTGTGTTGGCCTTCATATTTGAAAAATCAGTCCTTTTTTAAGTTTAAGTTTTAAAAATACCTTTTTCCTTTCCACTGAAGTAAAAGGGACCCATTCTATGAAAAGAAAAATGTCTAAGAAAAATAAGTGACTTTCTTTCACAACTTAAAATGTGCTCTGAGAAGAATGCTATCTTCCCAATGCTTTCCCCACCCCTGTTTACCTTCTTCTGTAAAAATGGTTTACAGTCACAAAGTTGTTTTCAGTTCCAACTTGTCCCTGATAGTCCTTGAATACATCAGATAAGATAGCTACACTTTCAATAATAAAATGCAGTACTGTACTCAGCCTCCCCCAAGCTTGTGAGTAATATTCATTCTTTTAAATTTGAAATAGTGCACTAGTGATAATGAGGTTAATGCATTAGATTTTTTTTAACAAAAATAAAAGACTCATGAAAACCTGCATACAATATTTATGGAAATGGAGTGTTTGAAGACAAGCCAAAATTTAAGCTTATTTGCATGAATTCCTATCACAGTTTTAGTTCGTTTGCTGAAAGTACTGCAAGTCATAACACTGGAATAAATAGCTATAGGACCAAAAGGCTGCACGCCTGAAACTCCGTGCTTTCCTTTGTGTCAGACTGCAAGAAAGCACGCGTGTGGGGGTGTTTACGTCCTCCTGCAGAAGGTGGTGAGGGACTGTTGCTTTGTCTGAAGAAAAATGTTTATTGACAGTAGAAGAATATATCAGCCTCTGTTTGTATTCTAAGGAGTCAGACTTTGGCAAATGGCCATCCGTGTAGAAGTTGAGACCAATGTCCAGGTAGCACAGATGGGTCCCAGGTGTGTTCAGTCACACAAATGATAGCAAACTTCAGCAAACAGTTGATACATTTCATTGGTGCAAAACATCATATCATACCTGATTTTTTTTTAATTTCAGAGTTTTTTCTTGATAAATGAAGAAAAGCTAATTGAAAAAAGATTGTGAAATGAAACTTTTTTGATTCACACTTGAAATTTTCCTTCTTAAAAAAATACACAGCTCTTTTGACCCCAGGTTAAAAACTTGACAGAAACTCTTCATGCTTTGATTTTGACATCTTTCATTTCCTCAAAAGAAAAATATTTCTTCTTGTTGAGTCTCTGACTTGAATTAATATCATGATGTGATTTTCGCTACTACCCATACCTAGCAACAGTGCTGCTAGTGGGGTGCAGTCTCTGTCTCAGCAGGGTGGACTGTGACACACAGGTGCACCCCTGTGTCTTCCTTTTGTCATCATTTCATCGACAGATGTGAACCTGTGAGTGACTCCTTATTCACAAATCCTCTTGGATCCCATCCCTGATCTGTCCCTTCGACGTCCCTTCTGCTGTTTCTTCACCTCTAATGTGTTAGGCACAAGCCAGGAAGTTTACATCCAGTTTTTGCCTCTTCAGCGCCCTATGAAACGAAGATAAGTTTTGTCAACCTTCCTCTTGAGCCAACAGTCTTCCCAGCCAGAAACCCTAAGTGTGTCTCTCTGGTCCTGCTGCCCTGAGGCCCGTGCCTTCCTCTCCCCAGAGTCTCATTCACCTCTGACTCTACGGGGTCTTCCCTGTGCAAATAGAGTGGATTCTGAGTGGGGACTGAAAAGTGTAGGGCTGCAGGCGTTTCTAGGCTGCCTGAGATAAAGCTCCCAGAATTTCGCTGTCTCCCTTGTGCATGTCAAAGCAGCCTTCTCATCTCCAGCATTGCAGCACCTTAGGGGAGTTAGACACAGGCCTCCCTGGGCTCCTTCCAGGATGGTTATACGTGAGGGAGTTGCATTTTTGGTCTCCAGAGAGGCATGTTAGTAAGGTGGAAGTAAAAAGAAGTTAAACGCTGGATTGTAAGTTCAGCAGCTCGTGATCAGAGCGTCCTGGGTCTTTGCTTTTGGTCCTGCTACAGTTTATTAGATCAAGTTGCAGACTTGTTGGGAAAGCAGAGTGTGCTTTGTCTAAAGTGACAGGGAAGAGAGAAAGGCACTGGCAAGGTTCGTTAGGGCTGAGGATGCGAAGCAGTAGGGTCAGAGGTGTCCTTTCTCTGTGGTTGTAAATGAGCGTTAATCAATCAGCAGCCAAGAGGACCAATGCACACAAGGACAAAGAGCAAGCGAAGGAACAAAGTCCGAGTTGTCCCACTCACCAGGTAGCTGTCAGAGCCGTCTCCATTCTCAGAGTGATAGAAGCGAATTGTAAATAATCTCTGTAGCGAACTCTGGGAGCAAGAGGATGGCTGCAGTGTTCAGGTGTATCCTGGGAACCTCATGTAGGTTTAGTTCGGGTCTAGGGCTCGGTTAGGCCCCTGGTTAATCCCCTAACTGCTCCACTGCTGAGATGCCATTCTGTCAGGGAACAGGCTGCAGGCACGCGGTCCTGGGAAATACATGAAGTACTCCCTGGGCAGAAGGATGACTGGCCTGGAACCTACAGTCTTCGTAAAAGACACTTTTTTTTTTTTTTTTTTTTTGAGGACAAGATCATGGTCAGAATTAGGTGGGCTTAGTTGACCATTATACGTTTCTCATCCTCTGAATGGAATTTGATCCAGAAGAGGGCTGATTGCTGTGGGTCGCCTGTATTTAAGGGAAGACCCTTTATAAAGTATGTTTGGATTTTTTATTCAAGGGAAATAAAACAAACACCCCATTGTTCCCTAATATTCCTTATCACTTCCTAGTATGTCAAGTTCTGTTTGTATCAATTATAGTGGTCAGCAGTTCTAAAACTCATTTAAAATGAGGATTTTATGTTTGGAACTCACCGATCTGTTCAGAAAGCTGTAGTTCTCTGTTTTTCATCCTACATGAGTTTCACCAGCCTTGTTCCTCTCTTCTCCAGCTAGTGCCCATAACTGTCCAGGTTTGTCTTAAATTTTATTGGGAAGGTAGGCATGTACATTTGATCTGCAAGGTGTGGGAAAGGTGATTCAGCCACATGAAGAAGTTTTAACAAAATAATATTTGCTTAGTGTGACTTATAAATAAATATGAGGCAACAATTGGTGCCAAGTGTGAAGCTTCTATTTGATTGCTGGTTAAATCAGTCCAGATTTAAACATGTAAACTTCTTGATTTGTATGGAGTAAGACATCTGTATTTGGTTTATTAAAACCTGCTGATGTCTCCAGAACTAATTTTGCTCCTGTATAGGCCTCTGGGTAGCTGTAGCTGAAAAGCAGAGATGTATGGTTTTTGCTTGTCTTATTACCTGACTTCCAGCCCTGTACAGGTGTGCAGGAATAAATTAACATGAGCTACCTCTGAAGAGCCACTGCATACATTAACAAGAGAGGTGAAGGTGCAAAAACATGCTACCTGCCTCCTGTTGTCACCTCTTCAAGCAAGCAACATCCATTTTTTTTCCATCATTCTCTGTGTTTGGAAACTTATAAAGAACTTTTCTGCAGAAAGCTTTTCAATAAATACACATGGTTTCACCAGGTAATACCTCCAAGAAACAAGCCACTTAGCACCAATTCGAGATAACTATTAGTATATTTGCCCTAATATAATTAGCTGTCAAATACAGTGTGATAATCCTCTCCAACGATGAGAGGAGAGCATTAGAAGGCACCAGCTGTTTCATTTCCTATATTTTTTGCCAATCAAACTGCACCTCTCCCTTTCCAAGATTCTTGTATAAAGTGAAGTGGTGCAGGTCGTCTGATTTTTAAGCTAAGGAAGAGATTTTCTCCCCATTGCTCTACTTGGTTTCACAATAGAGCCGGCAGATCAATAGGCCTTTTGTACTTATCTCCATTACTTTCCATCAAAAGCAAGCAAACAAAATAAATCCCCCTCCTGAGTAATTGCTAGTTGTGTCCTCCTCAAGCAAAACTTTGGTAGTAAGATAAACTTCAGTGTCACTCCTGTCCCTGGGGTTCTTTTTATACACTGAGAGAAGAGCAATGAGCAAAACGGTCTCCTTGTATCATGGGGAGAGACTCTGTCAGGCCTAAAGTGAGCCTCGGATCTTGCTAATGACCTCCTGCTGGCCCAGCTGGATGCAAGACAAGCTCATTTAAGCCCCTACTGACCTTTCACTCCTCCACGACAAGAGCCACACCAGTCTTCGAAACTGTGCACCACATAGACAACAAAGCTTAATGGCTGACGAATGATTTCCCTTTCATGATGCAAAGAGATTTTTACAAATTTCTATTGATTTAGTCTCCTATGGCTGTATAACCCCCATTCCTTACTTTTCTAATGTTTATTTATTTTCATCTGCTTGGAAAGCAGAACAGCAGAGAGAGAAAGCAGGAAAGAGACACGGACAGAGAAATCTTGCATCTGCTGTTTCACTCCCCAAAAGCCTGCGACAGCCAGGGCTGGGCCAGCTAAAGCCAGGAGCTGGGATCTCCAGTTCAGTCTTCCCCACGGGAGTGGCAGGGGCCCAGGTATTCTGGCCGTCATCTGCTGCTTCCCAGGATGCATTAGCAGGCCGCTGGATGGGAATCAGAGGTACTGGGGCTTGAACTGCCATGCCTGTATGGGATGCTGGTGTCCCAAGTGGCATCTTAATGCACTGCGCAACGCCCAGTGCAGCCCTTATTTTTACTGTCCATAGAAACTAACAAGCTATTTCTTATGCCAGCATTATCTTGCAAATTCATCCACCACCACCACCCCCAAAATGTCACTTAGAGCAGAATTCACAGTCTGAGTGCACAGGTCGTATCTTTCTTGGTGGCACCACTTTGAGTGGGTTGTCTCCCTCATTTCCACTTCCATCAGGTCTGTTACAATCTGT